GCCTATATTGAGGAGGAAAGTCCACTGATGAGTTACCAGCGTAAGCCTGTGTGCCAAAGGCTGTCTAATTCTTTTAGAATTATAACTACAAATTTAAATGAAAATGAAAAAATAATGAAATGGAAATTATACATTTGCACACCTAAGGATTATATCAACCAAACAAGTAACTGCGTATGCGTCCTCTACTTGGGTTCTTCTCATAAATTAGTAAGCAGCATTTAAAACAATAAACATATAATATGCACTGTTGTGCAATATTGAATTACAGCTTCAGATACATGATATTTTCATTTGCTACAAGCAGGATACACAAGAAGTGTGTTCAACTCGGACACGCAGACGGTTGCCGTGGTGATAAACACCGTAAACCGCAACCGTTCGCGTGTCCGCGCTTAATGCTCATCTCGTATATGAAAAGCATTTTAGGGGGCCCTTGGCTTTTGGGGGTCCAAGGCGGTCGCCTACCTTTGCCTACGACTTCGCTTTCAGATGACGTCATCAGTCCCTCTTATTTTTCAGCCATTTCTGTATAAAGACGCTTTTGAGCCAGACGATCAATTTATCTTGGTCTGCATGTGTTGTTATTGTTAACTAAAACTAAAGCTATTAAAATCAGTTTGTTAATTGAAATGAAGCTTGAACATAATAAATAAATAACTAAATACATATTAGATGAAAACCTAAACTTACAAAAACGTCAACAATCTTTCATACGTACGGATGAATTAACAGTGACATCGGTGCTTCCTGATGGAAAAAAGGTAAACAACAGTTAGTGCATTATTATTTCACATAATATTTTTAACATAAGTGTACATAATATGCAACAGGTTAGTATAATTAAGTGCATACTGTATGCAATAAGCAAGTATTTAATCTCAGCCAGATTCTCTGCAGGTATAAACACTAAAAAAACGAGAACAACGATGTAACATACACACATCTGAAGGAATTTAAACCCAAAAAATGAAAATTAGCTGACAATCTACTAGCATTGCATCAGTGTCTCAGCAGTGGTTGCTCTGCAGTGAATGGGTGCCGTCAGAATGAGAGTCCAAACAGCTGATAAAAACATCACAATAATCCACAAGTAATCCACAGCACTCCAGTCCATCAGTTCACATCTGGAGAAGACAAAAGCTGAAACTAATCCAGCATTAAGACGTTTTTAACTAAAATACGAGTCCATAATCCATAATAACGCTTCCTCCAGTGAAAAAGTGTTCTGGTGTGAATCAGGAGAGAAATCTGCACAAATCAAGCAGTGTTTAAACAGCTCTAAACACATATGTGGCTGGATTGTGATGTGAGAGACAACAGCAGATGCACTTTTTCAGTTATAATGGATTATGTTCCATTGGATAACTTGTGGATTACTGTGATGTATTTATCAGCTGTTTGGACTCTCATTCTGACGGCACCCATTCACTGCAGAGCATCCATTGCTGAGACACTGCTGCAGTGCTACATTTCTCCACGCAGCATTTCATTTGTCTGCACAAAAAAATAAGAAAAGAGACTCCGAACTGGCATCACTCACAACGAGATACAGAAGTTTATTAAAAGAACCGTGGCATAAAAATACAGAAATGTCTGCCGCAAGTCAGAAAATAAACGTGAAACGAAAAACACCGAGTATGTCCGTTTATCAAAGTAACGTTTTCTGATGCAATCTGAAGGCACGTTACATCATACATGACCGTGATTTGATAACAGAAATCAAATATCATGTTTGCAACTGAGGCAAATAACAGCGTGAGCTCTGAGGAATATTTCTGCATTTTTATGAACACAGTGGCGTGTCGTGTCTGATATCAGTTATCAGCGCTCAAAACATATCAGTCGCCAAAACAGTCCATCGCCTTGGCAACGATTATTGCTATTGTCTTTATCTGAAGCCTTATCTGCTATCGTCTGATTATCAGTCTGCTGGATAACATTAGGACGTTCAGCTGCTACGCTTTCACATATTAGCCTGATTTTCACTTCCACTGGAATAAATATCAGCGTTTTCTTCATGCATGTTCAATTTGACTTGAATCTGAACGTTCGCATGATGAACTGCGATGCAGGAGTCATGCTGGGTGTCAGTCTTTCCGTCTTCGTCATGCATTGCACCATTATCACAATTTTTGTCTTGAACACCATGATCTTCTGGAAGTCCAGCATTGGAATGAATGTTTTTCTCCAACTTATCTTCTGCACATAGCCTTCTAGCATCACCAGTGACAGTCTCAGTGCTGTCAGCTTCTTCAGGACCTTGAGAAACCATCATTATTTCTTCAGTTTTGCTGGTGATGTTCACTGAAACCACTTTGTTTTGGTTCCCGTCATCTTCCTGAGCGTCCTGAACACTGTTATGAGGACAGTCCTTCATCTCCACCTCTTCTTCATCACTGTCGTCATTTCCATCAGGATGCATTGCAGGTAGTTTATTTTCAGCGTCACCATCATCATCTTCAGTGTTTCCATCCTCTCCTTCACTTCGAATCTCTCCGTCCTCCAGCTCATCGTCCTCTGAGACTTTTGGCTTCTTCGCCACATGCACAAGAGCTTCTGAGCGTGGTTCAGCCAAAGAACATGAAGTTCTGGTGACGCTCGCTGATGCAACACCTTGGACCACATTGGAACGCTCTAGAAGCAGAGGAAAATGCACGTTGTAAATAATATAAAAAAGGTTAAAATACATAACTAAAATAATTTGATTAAATAAGAAAATAAATAATAAATTATTACATTTTATTAAAATAAATTGAATTAAATAAATACATTAATATATTTTTTATTTTAATTGATATTAAATGCACCACTAAATAAACAACATCATATGATTCAAATTAATAAACAAATTAGATTAAAATGAATATATAAATAATACATCTAACAGTCAGTGGAAAAGTTTAGAGGAAAGCAGTGTAAAAATGTTTAAAAAAAAAAGTGTAAAATATTAAAATAAATAAAGAATAAAAATAAGACGAACTAAATTCGATTAAAATAAAGAATTGGTTTAAACAAATACATAAATAAATAAGCAATTCCAATAAGTAAATTTGATTAAAATAAATTAAAAAAAGGGGATAACAAGGGGATGCTAAGGAGGTCTGTGGAAAAGTTTACAGAAAATCAGTAAAAAAAAATAAAGTATTAAAGTAAGATTTAACTAAATTTGTTTAAATAATATTTAAATAAACAAAAAACACAAAACAAAAACATTTGATTAAAATAAATAAATAAATGTAATTAAAATAAGTAATACATCTAACAAGGGATTGCTTGGAAAAGTAAAAAAATGAAGTTCTTAGCAATGCATATTACTAATCAAAAATTAAGTTTTGATATATTTATGGTAAGAAATGTACAAAACATCTTCATGGAACATGATTTTTACTTAATATCCTAATGATTTCTGGCATAAAAGATAAATCTATAATTTTGACCCATACAATGTATTGTTGGCTATTGCTACAAATATACCCCAGTGACTTAACACTGCTTTTGTGCTGCAGGGTCACATATCGTGATGAAACAGCTGTGATGATTTGCAGCTCTAGTGCAAGAGAGACAACAGCTGATGGTTGGACCTGCTGCCAATGTGTTGCATAACTGAATTAGCATGTAATAAAAGGTTAGGACTGCTAACAGAAGCATGGGCTTTCATCGCTCGTTTGGTCGGTCTGGCCTGTTTAGTCAAGAGAGAGTCGGTATGAGAATGAATGAGGTTTATCTCTCTGTTATAACACCTCAGAGAGCTCAGAAAAACTGACAAGAACAGGTTTCATCCCATCTAAACAAAGAAATAAGACTGTTTTGCAAACAGAAAATGTACTGCTTTTTGAACCTTTTTTTTTTTTTTTTTGCATTACGACTTTGGTTTATGACAACTAAACACTCATGACTTTTCTATTATTATATAAAATTATAGAATATTATTAAATTACAAAAATGTCAGTTAAGTTTAATAAAATGGGAATAAATTATAATGTAATTTATAATTAATGATATATTATTTTTAATAAATATAACATTGATTGGCTAAATAAATAAATACATACATGCATGTTAACAATTACTATAAATTCCGGGTAAAGTATTTAACTTTATAAAAAAAAAAAAAA